ACCGCATTCAACAGGCATGTTCCCGTGTGACATTTTTCTATAGCCGAACCAAAAACTAAACCACAGAGAGTCTATTGTAGTCATTTGCGTTTTATAAAAGAGAATCCGTTGGAGGAGTTGGGAGTCACACCTCAAAGAGTATATGATAAATTTATGGCAGAAAATGTCAAATATAAAATTTATGGTGACAAAACTTACTGGAAATAAGATAAAGCTCTGTTTACTTAATAAATTTTTTAGAATATCATTTATTGAATCTAGATACCGTTTACATAGTATATATGCAATGTTCAGTGTTGTAAATTCTTATTTGTTATCTTCATAATTTCTACATAAGTACTAAGTTATTTAGTTATTAACAAAGACATTCTTAACATTACATTATAAACATTTTAATTATAATTTATAGGTTACATATATTTTCAACTTATGTGAGAACACACCGTTTCCAACTCCACTCTATCATATTTCTTCAAAGTTTTCGTTAAGATTATCTGAAATCACAACATAAATTCTACATTTTATGACAACCTGCGATTAAAGACAGAAACGTGGCTGCAGTCGCCGTATATTCCGTATTTCATGAGTTCTAAAATAAAAAATGTCAGAAATGTTGCTTTTTCTATTACTGTTAGTTGATTTTTTTTCTCTTTGGAATGTCCCTTTTTGTGAAAAATTTCTTTTTTTATTTTATTTTATTTTTTTTTTGTTTTTTGTTGATAAAACTTTATATTGAACTTGATTAAATGAAAAGTTAAAAGGTAGCATTTCAAAGCAAACAAATTCAAACTTAGTTTGAAGTACTACTAAAACGTTTTTATATAATTTTTCAAAACAAAAAAAAAAGAAAACAAAAAAACATAAAATAAACTTAAAACTGAAACCCAAAGTTATTACCCGCAGCTTAAGTTGAAAGAAGGACAAAGATTTATATACCCTTAAACAAAGAGAATAAACACATAGTCTAGTATTAATAAGAGTATTGATCCTCTAATGTAACTCAAGGTACGGTTTCACTGTAATATTTTTGATATCTTTTAAATTAAGTGTCGGCACAAAAGAGATGTGATTTTGATATATGGTTTACTTTTAAAGTTTAAAATGATACTACTGAAAAGTATATTGAGAGCATTTAAATTTGAAAACAAAAATAATATAATATACTAAATGCATATACAGAATCTGTATTCAAATTATACAACCTTATTAAAACAAAGACAGCATTTTAATATATTATTTATTAAGTTCATACAAATTTATAAGCACTTTAAAAATTATTTTAAGTTTCATATGATATAAATTTTATAATATATCATATAAATTTATACATATAATACATAAATTTTATACTTAATAGATCTATTAAGAGTACTCATCTCATCATATAAGTCAATCAATGTTTTATGAACGCACTTAGTGAAATATTTGTGTAAATTTATCAATCTGCTGTATAAGAGCACTATTTCTATCAGCAATAATTATGACTGCACAAAAAGCAATGCTAAACATCCTATTTTTTTTTAGCTAATATTGTTGCAATTTTAAATATTTGTGCAACTGTGTCGTTATTAATAATTTATAAAATAAATACCGAATTGAGTAAAAAGTCCAAACTAAAAAGTATTTACAAAGTTATTTTTTTAAATGATTTACTTGTGTTGGAATGCAACTCTGTATTGACAAAAAATAAATTTATACGATATAAATTTTTTGGTAAAATTTTCGTGTAAATTTATTAAGTTTATGTAAACTATTTTTCATACAAAATTTAAGACTTCATTTTATCTCAATACCTCTACAATCTTAAATGGCTATAGATAAATTCCTGAAATTTAGTAGAAACATCGAAATGCTAATTAACTTATTGGATGACATAGAGAAACTGTTTATTTCAGATGATTTGTGCCTAAAATTATTAATGAGGCAAGTTCTTTATACAACTAGCAAAATAATTCTAAAACTTCAATTTTTTATGACATCATGAGTTTAAAATAAGTATATCCTATTATCAGTTTATAAACTAATAAGCAAGGGATAAGTGTTCAGATTTTACAAATACGTTAAAGTTGTCACATATTTTAATTGAATTTCAGCTTCATAATAAAAATTCTATTCTCACTTTTTTCTACAATCACACAAGTTAACAATTATATGTTATTTATTACCCTATTAATACATAAGTTAAGTGAGTTTTATAATAATTAAGTCCATTAAATAATTTTTATTAATTATATTTAAATAGTTAGAATATTAAACTAAAATTAAACTATTGCCACTGAGCCAAGACTTTTGTATTACTATGCATTTTTCAAATAAAAAAAAAAATTAAAAAAATAATTGTCAATTTTCGAAAATCAATTTAACACCAAAAAAATATACTTATGCAGATCTGAGGTCAAGTATTGCTTAGTCTGATGAAGTTATAAACAATAAACCAGTCAAGGCGTAAAGAGCGGTTTTGAAGATACCGCGCAATTAATAAAGAGTAAAAGTAGTCAAGTGCACTGACTCAAATAACTACAACATAAAATAAAGATCTACTTCTTATTAATTAAAACTTTTTCACATTCTTTAAAAACTGCAGTTTATTCTTATGTATCATTGCAGCATTAATATATCTTTTTGTAGCACTTTTTATGATTTATATATCGTAGTTATAAAAGCAAATCTGCATGAAATTAATAAGGGAGAAAAATGATTTTAATATGTGTTATTAGAGAATGCATAGGATCATATTTAATTTCTATTTAACAGATAAACCGAAGCTGTAGTATATATATTATATTGTTTACCTTTAATTTGAATTTATTAGGATTTCCTCTGATAAATCCATATTAAATCATATTGGAAATGATAACTAATCATGTTTTTTCACAACAATAACTATAAGTAATTTTTGAAGTTGTTGTTTCTTTATTACTGTTCGAACCCTTCTAGTTTTCTTTTCGTCATAAGATGCGTCACATTCAACAAAAAAAATCTACATTAAATATTAAAATTATTATTGTGTTTATATCACTTATTTATATATTTATTTTATTTATGAATAAAATGAAGAATGTAATGGTTTCTTTTCTGTTGAATGTTTAAAAAAGATTAAATTTAAATATCATTGGTTTTGAACTCCGTCAGCCCTTCTTCATTCTTACAGTGTATATTAGAACCAATTAATAAGAAATCATAGTCGATAGCTATTATTAGCGAACTTAATTTGGTATTATAATTTAACATTTTATTTAAGGTTTTTGCATATCTATATAATATTATGCTTGCATATATATATATATGTATATAAAGAAAAAACTAAATATATCAATTCAATATAATGTTTCGTATAAATGTTAATGAACTAAAAAAAATGTTTTCTGCAATTTTCGATATTAATTGAATTGCAAGAACTTTGTCCAAAGTTTGTTCAGATAGAAAAAGTAACACTAATCTTCCTTAACCAAATAATAAAACAATTTTCTATGAAATATTATGTTTTGAATTTTCTTTGATTGAAAAGTTGGTTTAATATGAATTTCTCACTTATAAGAGCCTATATAAGAAAGTATACAAAATTTATATACTATTGACATTTACACAATGAATAGAACGAAGTCAATAAATTACAAAAGTTGAATAAAAGTAGATGTAATACAAATTTTCGAAACATTATATTATATTGTATCATATTTACATAATGCATCTCTATTGTTTAAGTGAGAAAAGAAGATTTATTAGCATTTTATAGAACAAGGGAGAATATTAGACGGGTCTTTTCAGAAGCTTTAATATGCTTCAAAAAAATGTTTTTGAATAAAAGAAATAATAGTTTATATTTTATATAAACTAGATACCTACTCTCTCAAGAATGCTTCAATTATACAAATTCCGCATTTTATTAGGGTTTGAAAATGTTTCCATAAGACACGACTATCAATATATTTGTATTATATTATTATTTATTGACTTTGCTTTAAGGTTCAAATCACAGGTATACTCTCATAAAAATGTATCAAGAACTTCAATTAAATATATTCCGTATTTCATTAAGGTTTGAAAATATTTCCATAAGACACGGCAACTAACATATTTGTATTATATTATAATTTATTGATTCTGCATTAAGATTCAAAACATTACTATACTCACTCAAGAATGTATCTAGAGCTTTAATTAAATACATTCCGCAGCTTATTAAGACTTGAAAACGCTAGAAGCATTAGAATGTATCTAATACCTCAATTAAACATACTACGTATTTTATTAGGGTTTGAAAATGATTCCATAAAACACGACTATCAATATATTTATATTATATTATTATTTATTGACTCTGCATTAAGATTCAAATCACTAGTATACTCACTCAAGAATGTATCTAGAGCTTTAATTAAATATATTCCGAAGCTTATTAAGACTTGAAAATGCTTTCATAGGACACAGTCAGTCAGGGTTCTGTATTAAACAGTGATCTACAAATAGAACTGAGGGCCTTTGTGAGTTGATTGATTAGACTAACTGTCATAATAAAATCTAATCTAAAACTGTCATTATCTAATCTAATATAATATAATTTTTAAAAAACTTGACAAATGAATCCTGTTAAATTATTGTATTCCTGCGATAATATTTAAATTTAATATTTTAAAATTCTAATTTTCTCATACAATTTTAATAAAAAATTAAAATAAATACAATTTACTCAACAAAGAATGAGTTGGTGACAATCATTGTTAATGACATGTTATGAGAATATATGTCTGCGACTAAATGTATTATTACGTCTATAGTATAAAACGTCCTTATTTACTCAAACAATGTCTGATTTGCACAGACAATTTGTTTTGACATTTATTTATACAATTGATTGAGGTACGCAATTATAAATAAAAGGCCTTTAAACTCTCGTCCGAATGGCTATTCGGTTTGTTCTAGTAATTTTCTGCATTAGCATGTTTAGCAAGTTTAAAATGTATCTTAACCATTTAATTGGCAGATTTATACGGAACAACATGTTTTCAGAGAAACTTGGCCAGACGCGTTACTTCTTGGCACAGCGTTTAGTTTTCACTGCGATTGGCATAGACTTTACCAATGAGGAACAGCCTATGCAAAATCCACTTAGAGCGTTTTTATCCTTTTTTGTAATGGTTGCACTATTCTTGGCCTTACTACATTTTTCCATAGTGAACATTAGCGATATTGAAGTAGCAACAGATGCCATGAAACTATTTTGCCAAATAGTACTATCGAGCTGGAAGTTTGTGATACTTGTCTACAATCATAAATTAATTATGCGAGTGGTGAAGAAATTAATGACTTGGAATAGAAATGGTAAATCTAAGAGATTTGTACATTTTATAAAAATAAATAAAATAATTTGCATACATTTTTATGTGCAGCAAATCACACAGAGGGAAAATTTATTATAGCTGAAAATGGCAAGGATGTCATTGTCAGTAGCCTGTATTGCATTTCAGTATTTTCTACTGTTGCCGTGCTTGGGATACAACCATTTATAGTAGCTGGAATTGGATATATAAAGAATAACACATTCAAAATAGAACCACCAATCAAAGCAAGGTAAGAGTTCACAATTTACTTCAACTCAAACCATTTCATATCAATTTCATATCAATATGCATTGGTATTTAAATAGTTATTTTGTGGACTATTCGAAACCACACAATTACGTATTTGTGTATCTTTGGGTGGCCATTGCACTTTATAATGGTATTTGTATCACATGTGGCACTGAAATCTTATTTTCCTGGCTAATGCGAAATTTGAGTGCACAATTCGATATACTGCAATATCGCCTACATAGAGTGGCGCAAGAAAATGGTGGAAATGTGTCTACTGAGTCTATCATCGACTGCATACAGTATCACCGGAGAATTATTATAACAATTGAGGAGCTTAGTACTGCATATTCACCAATTATTTTCTTTAAATTTTCTATCAGTTGCATACAATTGTGTCTTTTGGCCTACCGTTTGAGCCAGGATAGATTAAGCAATGGCTTAGTATTGAATTTCTTCTTCTTACTATCGGTTGCCCAACAATTATTGATTTACAGTCATGGTGGTCAGACCATAAAATACAAGGTTTATAAAAATTGTATATTTAATAATTAATTTAATATAAATACACATATATATTTTATAGAGCCAGAATATAGCTATTATTATCTACAAGTCCTTTGACTGGCATAAAATGGATAATAGTTGCAAAAAACTACTACTGCTGACTATATTACGTGCCCAAAGGCATTGTTTCATCTCTGGTATCTTTTTCGAAGCAGATTATGCTTTATTTGTTTGGGTAAATTGCATTTTTGTGAAAATATAATATTGAATATATATTTATGTAAGAAATACTTTTAATTAAATTTTTAATTTTTGCTATCAGGTATTCCGCACTGCAGCTTCGTATTTTACACTGCTACTGACATTAGCTGGAAATTAACCTTCATTTTAATATGATTTCAAAAATATAATATTTATACCATATAATAATAATATATACTTATTTACTTTTTGATATTTTGTTGTGTTATGTACTCAGGAAAATGTTGCAATATTTTCATGTTAAAAAGTTTTAATTAGATTTAATAAAGTACAATCAATAGTGAATTCAGCAAAATAAAATTATTTATGTTTACAACCGAATTAAGTGGTAATATTATAATGGTAATATTGTGAAAATTGAAATTTGAGATATAATGCAATTTGTAGTAAGTTGAAAATCAATAAAAGGTAACTAATAACTAAAAATGATAGAAACCAGTAGCAGCCTGTCTCATAAGAACTCGTAGTTTCCAATGAGACGGTATCGGTAAAGCGTGGTATCACAAATTTTAAAGGCACGGTAGCTGTACAAAAAAATTGAAGAAACAATGGACTGCATCTTAAAATAACCAACTACTTCACCAATTTTTATTAAACGCCCATTGTGTTCCACGCTCATATTAGAGATATTGGATACACACTTGAAAAAAAGAAAGTATAAAAAATCCTACTGACAAGTTCTTCTACTCCTCTAAAGCGGAGATTAAATATTTGCCATTTAAAGAAGCTTTTAACTCAATACTTCACAATGTTTGTTGTTATACGTTCCACTTAAAGCTTTAAAGGACTCTTCTGCTTTTATTTGGGCAGATTTATGCAACATACAGAAGAAGCATTAAGCGTATTCAGTGCTTTACTCTCTAAAGCGTAACTTCGATAGTAACTGTTAAAGGTAATCCCAAACACCTCATTTCGTATGAAAGATTTATATATTCTACATAAAGAAGGAGTCTTCGAAAAAGGTTAGTTATTAGTTGGCTTTTTATCCCTCTTCGACTAAATTAGTTAGTAAACTTAATTCACGGGAAGACATTCTAGTCACTGCTGGTTCAAATTTCACAATGTCAATTTATATGTAATATTAAATTCGCTCCCTTAATATACAAAATTCTCTCTATTAAAGAACACTGATCTAAACTGTAGGCATTTCACTTTATATCATCAATAAGGAGTAAAGGATAGACGAAACAGTTGCTCTATATCTATTATATTGATCATAAGCGAGTCATGTCACCTATATGATTTGATGTGTATGATGTTTGGGCAATTTTTAAGTCGCTATATCATCTTCAAGTATAGTCAGTTTAACTGAAACTAAAGGTTTTTTTGCATCTACTTATATTATGGAAAGTCGAATACCACTTTATATTAATTCGTCGAGCATGCAGTTGCCAAGAGTGTTCTCATGAACCGGCAATTCTCTCAGGTTAACCGATACATGCACTGACATGTCATTCAGAGATGTGCTAGTTCCGAAGCCTTAAAAATAATACCAAGGGATATAATGGTTACATGTTTGGCACTAAAAATATAAACATTTGATAGACATACTTTTTTATGACTTTTTATGACTAGCGAAGTGGATGGAAGCTGATTTGATATCATAAGACTAAGCTAAATATCACAGAAATAATAATCTAAATTATTTTAGTTATAGTGATAATACATAATATTTTGACTATTGTAAATAAATTGTAAAAGGATATGTAGATAAACTTGCCTTCATTTTCAACCAATAATCACATGGGCGTTGCATATTACAAACGAAAAGAAAATATTTATTTTAATTAATAATAGTTCCAATTCATTCTAAATTCAAATTATCATTTTACGATTAATTGCTATTATATTTATTAAGTATTTAATAAAATACTATATTATCTACTATTTCGAACGACATTGAGAATGCTTTAAAACTATTAAAAATTTAGCTTATCTACATATATATACCAGTTGAGTAATAATATGTTCCAAAGATACTAATTTATTATAATAAATAATCAATATTTTTATTACTTTGTTTTCATAAAATACAATTATACTTAATTATTTATTTATTTACTTATTGTAATTACGTTGTGGGCGTTAGCCCATAACGAAGAATATTTAAAGCAATTTTCTACAGCTTATGCCACACAGACAAGACATTCCACAGGAAGAATTTGGTAGAGCAACATGTCCCAAATATTTGGCATGAAACGTTATTTTGCGGTACAGCGTTTCACTTTCGCTGCTATGGGCATTGATCCAACTTCTGAGGAGCGTATCATAATAAATCCTGTGCTTGCAATATTACCGTTCTTCGCATCGATTACTCTGCTAGTCAGTATTATTACTTATACCATACAACATATATCAAATGTAGATGAGGCCACCGATGCCATGTCACCAGGTTGTCAGGTTATAATGTCAACTTGGAAGTTTGCTATACTACTTTACAAACGCAAAGAACTGGTGCGTATTGTTAGAAAAATAATGGCTTGGAATTTAAAAGGTAATGTTTGGAATAAATAATATTTGAGATATATTTTATTCATAATTAAACAACTTCAAAATTTTTAAGCAACTGCAAAGGAAAGTGTTATCATTGTGAACGAAAATAAGATTGATATATTTATATGCACCTACTACCACTTGGCAGTTGCCACCACAGGCTCTACAGCTATAATATTTCCACTTGTCTTAACCGGGCTACATTATATTAAAACCGGTGAATTTCTGATGGAGGCACCAATTAAAGCAAAGTAAATAAGCTGTTGGCATAATTACTCAAACGATGCAAATACTACTTAATTGCATAATATTTTAGTTACTTTATGGACTACACTAAGCTCGATAAATATATCTTCATATACGCATGGACGTCATGCTGTATATACTGTGTCATCTATGCCTCGTGCGCTATAGACACGATATTCTTCTGGTTCATACGAAATATTTGTGCACAATTTCAGATATTACATTTACGCTTCCGCGAGGCAGCTGAGGAAAACAATGGCAAAGCTTCAAAGTATTCCATTCAACGTTGCATTCATAACCACCGTGAGGCGCTCGAATTAGCGCAGGAGTTTAATAATGTTTTTGGTCCAATAATTTTTATGAAATTTGCCATTAGCTGCATACAGCTCTGCTGCTTGGCCTTTCAGTGCAGTCGGGATGGCTTAACGACGGATGCTGCTTTTCATGCATTATTCATAATGTCGGTTGGTACCCAACTGCTTTTATATTGCCATGGTGGTCAGAGGATGCGGGATGAAGTAAGTTTTTGTATTATTTACAATATTCTGTTCTATAGTATGATTCGTATATAACATTTTCATATAACAAGAGCTTATTAATTACGACTGCTATTTTCACTGCTTTTAAATGGCAAAAACTGAGTACTGGCTTGAAGAAGATACTGCTTATGCCTATGATGCGTGCCCAGAAGCCCTGCCATTTATCGGGTGTATTCTTTGATGTCGACTTAAGCTTATATGTGTGGGCAAGTTAATATAACTATTGTATACTGCTACTATATTATGCATTTATTTAATATATTACTTATAAAACTGATTATTAGCGATGAGATTTACGTATGTATAGATAATGTGATCAAAATTTCATTTTTAATTTTGTTTTCTTCAAGGTATTACGTACTGCAGGATCATATATAACGATGCTTTGGACATTAGATGCAAATTAGTATAATTGGTTAATAAATGTCATTGGAAAAAGAAAAGAACTCGATGCAAAAAATATTGAAAAAAAAGGATACGAATTAAAGTCGAAAATGAATTAAAATATAATGATTCGTAAAACAATTAAAATCCAAGAAAATTTAAACTTATTATATCATAGCTTAATGTTTTATGATAATATTTAACCATATCAAAAATATTACAACATAAAAAGAACGTAGCACAAATATAAACGAAAGTACAAATATATTTAAAAGATTATGAGATAAAAATTTTAATGTAATATAAATATGTAAAAACTTTATGATAAATAAATTTAATACTTCATAGTTGTCTAAAGCTACTTGAGATGCATACTACTGCAGAACCAAATAAAAGTTAATATAGAAAAGGGTTAACTGGCTAAGAATCTTAAAAATTAATTTGCTTAAATGTAGTACTCACTTTCAAGTGCATGAGTGAACAAAATCTAATTCCATTAAATTAATTCCAAATTAATTCCATTAAATCAAATTTGGGAAAGTAATTTAAAAAAATATTAACTTTTGACTAATATTTCAAACTAAATGAGAATTGTAAAAAATAATTTACGTAGAAGTTACTATCTCACAACTGCGTCAAAAAAAAAAAACATAATATAATTCAGCGCTGATTCATTTCGCAAGCAATTAATTCATTCCCGCATTGTTATTCACTAATTCAATAATGAATAATAATATTTATTATTTAGCAATATCCGAAACTAAATAAGGTTTTTAAAAATTAGTTTGTTTGGAAGTAGCTCTCATTATTTTGCACTGTGTCCAAGATAGTAAAAAATGTATTAAATTATTTTGGAGAAATATTTAAAAACCAAGTAGTATACCAAACCGTCTAAGAATCTTAAATTTGTTTGGAAGTTACACCAATTATATGACATAAAAGTTGACTCAATAAAGCATTAAATCATTTTTTAATTAATTAATAAAAAGCATTAATATCAGAGTAAATTTATTTTAAACTGAATGAGAGAATCATAAAACTTAGTTTGTTGTTGTTAGTCACAATCATGATGACTTAAACTTGCTTAAATCGTTAAATTTATCTGAAATATCACGCTTTCATATCAAAAACTTAACTAGTTACGAAATATTTTCCTGAAAATAAAATACGTAATTAAGAAAATAAAATTAAAACAACAACAACACATACTAAATAATTTAAAGACCCAGTAGCTAATGTAAGCATAAATTTGCATAATCAAAACAAACATTCAACAAAAAGAAAGTAAATCTTTAGGGTTTTCAACCGCTCCGGAAATTGTCTGCAGCACAACAAGGCAATGTGCTAATCATTTGTACCTTTGTATAATAACAACTCTTCAAACACACACAAACACGCCCACAAAACTACACCGTTATTAGCAGTCAGTTAGCGTTAACACAAAACGAAAAAAAAAACAAAGCAAACGCAATGCCAACAACAAAAATTAATCGTGACGATTAAATTAGAAACTCCTTCAAAAACAAACAATATGCCTTCATACATGACAGCACACTCATTTACACGCATACATTGCTATACATACAAACAGACATAATTTGTGGTAGCCCAGAGTATAAATGGTAGCCACTTGAAAGGTACAAAACACGTTGTTGCTTTTCACCACACTTACAACTACAAAATACCCAAAAATATTTCAATTATAAAATCAAGGAGTAATAATTTATACCAATGCACGGACGAAGCACTGACAAACAGCAACACTACCAACACTACCAACAACAACAACGCCAATGCCAACTACAACAAATCAACATCGACAACACCAACAGCAACAATCAGTAAAGGGCCCATTAGACAGCAACTTTCGTTGTCAACGCGCGCTTGCCATTACACAAACAATTTTTTAAAAATTTTTTAAACACGCCTCAGATAAAACAACAAATATACTAAAAAATCGCTCTCACATGAGAATTTTTTTCTCCTACTTTTCTCCTACTTTGTGAAATGCGAAATTTGTTTGTATAATAGTAACATTTGAAATTTTAAGAAATGTGTTGACGAAAATCAAAAAATTTTGATATTTCTTCAAACATGCTCGTGTTTTTGCATATACAGTCGGATTTGGTCGGCATGCAAAATTTTATTTATTTTGAGAAATGGAAGCGTAAACATCGCTTAAATGCACGCATGATTTGTCGTTAGCATGCGATGCTTTGCAAATATGAATGAATTTTATTTTAAATATTTGTATTTTCTACCTAGGTAAAATTTTTTAATTTCCAAAACATTTTATTAAGGAGAATTAAAATATTAATAAACTTGGGCTAAAAAAAAATAACCAAACATTAAATTACAATAAAAATTTTGTTTTAAATATTAATTGCATTGTGCACCTACGGAAAATTTGTTATTAAAAAATACCAAAAAAAAAATTAAATTATATAAAATATAATATATATAAAAATAAATATATAAATTGAAATCATAAAAATAAATATAAATATATAAATTAAAATTATAAATTAAATGTCATCATTTTTCGTAAGGAAATTACGCATAGCAGCCGCTGTCGACACTTCAGCGATTGCTTTAATACTGATGAGTGCACAAATTTTGCATTGTTTGCTGGAGGCGTGTTTAAAAAATTGTTGGTAAATTTAATGTGTAATGGAGAGAGAAGACTTCGTGTGTTTGTCAACGCGCGTTGATGTCTAAAGGCCACTTTAGTCAATGCACCACTCTCCTTGTGTCCTCCTTATTTCATTATTTTTCTCCCTTATCATGGATAAAGCCTAAATAAAATGTGTACTTTTATTATATATAAATTCAAGTACAATATAAAATGCTCACCAATAACTTTTTTGTGTCATTCATTTTATATATATTTTTATGAAAATTTTTTTTATAAAATTATCTGCAGGTATTTTTGTATTTACACGTATTTATCAACTACAAATTTGTTTAAAATTTTTTTACTTATCATATGTTTATTGATTTAGGCAATGATATGAAGTTATTCTTAAGCAACCAGAAATTATTCTGCAGGTAGTTAGACAACTTACATATTACATGTTTTCGGTAATTTTGTTCATACATTGAACATGTTTTTATAAACGTGTTTAAAAGAAAGCTCTTTAAATAATCTTTGTGCTGTAACGACAATTTTCCGTCGCTCTGATTGCCGAGGTAATACTCAGGGGTTGGTCCTTGGTCGTTACAATAAAATTTATAAATGTTAGAAGGCCGTGTTTCAAATTTTGTTTTAATTTTCTTTTCTTTATTAAAGTATTTATTTTAAAACTAATAATCGTCTTAATTATCCTATGTTTCTATCCTATTACAGGATATTGATTTTAATATTGATATTGATATTGATGTTGCTATTGATGTTGATGTTGATAGTAATTTCCTTTCTTCGATGTCAGCGTATTGTTCTTTGATGGTTTTGTGTATTTCAGCTGATTTCCTTTCTTCTATACCTGTTGTAAAGGGTTATCAATGTTAATATATAGACGTGTACACGCCTATATAAGTTTTAGTGACAAAGGATAAACGTGTTCACGCTTATCCACGGATTTGGTAGCAAATTATAAACGTGTTCACGCTTATTATTTTGCTGGAGAAAGGATTTAACGTGTTCACGCTATTCAAGGATTATAAACGTGTTCACGCTTATGCAAGGATTTGGTAGCAAATTATAAACGTGTTCACGCTTATATATTTGCTGGGGAAGGGATAAAAGATATACATATATAAAAAAAACAAAAAAATAATATAAAGGTGCTTCTTTATAATTAGCTCCGGTAATGTTTCCCAATGCTTCACTTGGCGAGTCTATCATGAAGTCCGATGACTTCAAAGGTCGATCACTAACTGCCTCTTCTAAGTAAATGCGTCTTCTTATATACGCATCAGACCAAACCTTAACGTAGCGCAAAGCTTAGTTTACAGCTGGCTTGGATTTTTGACGTCATTGCTGTTTTGCGCTTTCGCCGTAGTTAATATGCGCGCGTATCAATTTTTACACAAAGCTCTTTGCACAAAAGCTTTTTTGACGTTTCTTGTGTTGTGTATTTGTTTTGTTTTGAAACGTGTTTAGCTTAGTGTCGGTAGTGGCGACTTCAAATATTTATATTTATTTATTAAAATAAAATAAATATTAAAAATATTAAAAAGTATTAGTTTAAATAATAAATAAATAAGGTAGATACAATATTTGTTTATTTGAATATATTTTGCATTCTTTTAATTTTTCAATGTAATCTTAGGTTTAATTCATTGTGATGCTGTTGCGTGCATGCGGGGGTGGCTTTTAGTAAGTTATTTACCTTTAATATATTAAATAAAAATTAACCAATTTTTATTTCAGGTATTAACTGCACACTAATTAGGTTGGTTGGAAAATAGGTTGGAAATTGGTAAAAATTTCCATCCTTACAGTGCAATATCGAAAAAAAAATTTTCCTACACATATTTCCCACACCAAAACTGTCAAAAATTAAAATTGATGTGACGACACAGCAAGCGAAAGAATCGATGCTTTACCGATAATGCATCGATACTTTGGAAGCAACGATCGATGCAACTACCATACCAAGTAAATGCAATTTTGTCTATTACATATCACAGGAAAACCATCGATGCTGTATTCATACCTAGAACAAAAAAGATAAAGAAAAGAAACTGAGAGTTATAACTTTACTTTTATAACTTTAAAGGAACAAAGTATTCTTTTTCAAAAATAATCTTTGGTTAATGTTGAATTATGAAAAAATTTTTGAGTGCACAAAATATGGCATCTCTGTTGATTTCGCGGGCTATCATTCTTTTGCAATAATTTGTTGTGCTTGTAGTCGGTGGTGACATACTAAGTTTTGTCTCTTAATGTACACGAATATACGGAATGGATCGCGTCGGTTCACAGATTTTAAAAAATTTATTATCAGAGGATGAGTTAAAACACATACCATCAGAAACTCAAGAAAAATTGATAACGCTTATTGACAAATGTTCGGATGCA